AGCAAATCAAGTAAAACACATAACCTAATGCATGATATGATAATATCCTAATGAAGTGATTACATAGCAGTAATCGCGCAAAAACACGGCAGTCCTAGGACACACCAGCCAAGACCATCTGCTCAAAGTAGAGATATTTCAGTGTCTCCAAAAAATAGGAAACGTTTTTTATTTATTGTGCAGGGGTAGGTTGTAGGTCGTTCCACAGACGGCAAGCAGTGACAACAAAAGCCCTGTCATAAACTGTGGTCACATGATGAGGTATTTGCAATGTGATTGAGGAGGAACGTGAAACTCGTGAACTACCTTGAGACACAAATTTAAAATCTAATTAAAAATAATTTGTACTTAATAAAATAAATATCTCTTTGTTACTAACAGAGTAGGTACTAAGTGGCATATCACATTAATAATAACTACAAGTTTAAAAGCGTTTTAACTTGGGACTTGTGAAGGTTCGGATACCCACCTCCGAACAGTTCTTTTCTGTCTGGGTTTTGTTGTCTGAAGGATGCCAGGGTCGTATATCCTCCACTCGTACTTTGACACAGCATAAGATTTATGTGTGACACAACTCACTCAAGCTAACAATTTCCATGGAAACAAAACATTTTGGTACACTACCTTATATTTTCTGTTACCTCTTTGCATTACAGATAAATAGGTGTAATAATGACTAACTCTAGGAACAAGTTTTTGCATGGTAGGTGATAACTACAGTAGGGACCACAAGAGACTGCAGTTGGCGGTAGCCAATCACAAGACAAGACTAGTGCGACGTTGTATCGTTCACTAATTTTCGACTCTAATTAAAATATACTAAACAATATTTTCTAATCAGCTGGTATTATTAGATTTGGCAACAACAGGTGGTCCTTGTTGGCTACTTCGAAGTCATGTGGTAAATAGGCTCCTCCCTCAACTGCAGACTCTCGTGGACTGTACTGTAGTTTGGTTTTGACTCCAGAGAGTTTTGAACCTAATTCAAAATATTTGTTAAAAAAGGGAACATGAATTTTTACGAGGGTTGCTTTTAATCTTAAATCGGTATTATACATTATGCTTCAACAGTTTATTTAGATGGAGTGCTTTGGTCAATTCGTGGAATGCTGCTAAAATTGGATTTTGTTTTTGACACACTCTGTATATCTCATAAACTGTATAGTTGATTAAATGTTTGCCAAAAACAAGCTCTTTCAATAGGAGTTACTTGATATCTATTTCCATATTTTAATCACAAGGAATCGGATAAAAGGAGTTGGCGAGGATTATTTTAAACAAGAGTGATTAGGAAACATTAGCATTACAAATAATAATCGTTTAATCTGCATTAAAATTTTTGTTGAATCACTGATTTGTTTGGTATGGGAACTAAATTCACAGTGTTGATTTTATTACTCAATATGAGTGTAAGATTCTTTTGTGCTTTAGGTAAATATTCAAATATTCAGATTTATTATTTTACATCAGGAAATAATCTTCATATTAGTATAGCTTACATTTAATATTTGTTTAATAACATTTGTTTTTTCTTCATTTAGCAAAGAATATTTTTATTATTTAAGTTTGTCCAGAAATTTACGAGCTATGAATTTCTTGCTTTTAAAAATAACTTAAAATCATGTACAGTATTATGCCCTACTTCTGAAGAAATAGCCTACATGTAATTTTTTGTTTCTTCAATACAAAACAATATTTTCAACTTATTCTATATGTGTGGTTTTACAGAAGAACAAGTTAACATGCTGAGCTTCTTGGATGCAAGGTTTTTCTTCAATCAGAGCCTATCAATACAGGACACCTTAAATTCCTAATTTTGTATTCACATAGCAAGATTTTATGTTACTCAAAGTATTTAGTCACAATATTGTAAATAGGAATAATATGTTAGAATGATTTGTTTAACCTTTTTTAGCATAATTTTAATGACCATTTATCCTTTGTTATAAATAGTTTAATTTATCTAAATTTGTTATAACCGTACTCAGAATGCTTTTTTGTTATTCAAAGTTTGATTTGATCAAATTTTGTAATTAAAGTGGTCTACCCACGATGCATGATTTGTGTACTTTCAAATAAAGTTTTAGTTGTAAATTGATTTCAGTTTTTAAAAGATAAATCAGTTTTATTATGTTTAATGTGCGACTGGACATGCTTTTTTCAGAGTAGCCTATATATAAATTGCACAATAAAAATGTTGCCATACATCCATTTTGTATTGGTATGTTTTCTTAAACCACGCCATACCAAATGAAAGATTTAATATCAACTGTGATCATTCCAGATTTTTATATCAAAAATAGCAAAAAATTATTTTAGTTATTAGTAGTTTTAATTAATATGTTCTTAATTTAGTGTATTTATTTTGTACAGTTTGAAAATAATTGTAATGTAAGCTATTCAATGTTGAGAACTATATTGTTATTCTAGTCATGTATGCGCATAGATAATAAATTTATACAATTTATAAAACAAAAAATATCCTTTTTAATCCAATCCTATTGTTAATTTCTCGACGTACTACGAGGAATCAATGGCAATTATGTAATGAATACAATGGTATTATTTATTGTACAATGGCTTTTCTGTAAATAAACAAATTTAATTGAATTGAATGAATTCTGGTTTCTCCAGACCCAGTGTACTGGCAAGGTTGAAAGAAACCATAAACTTTTTATAAAAAAAAGACACTGTAATTTCCAAGTGTTTTACAAAGTTTTTGTGGTTTCCGAGTGATTTACTAAGGTTACCAAAAGCCAATGCTGTTTTAACTTATTGCGAAAGATCCAGGGTTTTTATCTTTTCTTAGCTCATTAAATTGAAGATACTTTTTCATGAAACTTTTAGGAAAGAAGAAACATACTTAATACATAAAAACATATTTATTATATACAACCACATATAATGTAAAATTGTATAACAACTGTTACACCTGTATCAAGCTTAAAACTAACAAACTTTAACATACTTATTGAGTTGCATAAGCATACTTAAACCTCAAATAGACAATTGTTCAAAACAAAAAGTAGTTAAAACATGTTTGACTTATGTGATTGGATTAAAGATTTAAAAATTATGGTAATAGGAAATATCAGACGTCATTAACATTATCCCTTCAATCTTAAGAATAAATGTATTTCTTCTCAAATAAAAAAAAAAACTGAATAAAACTCTATTAAAAATATCTGTAATTCAATCTGTTTTAATGAATATTTAAATGAAAAGATAAACAATGTGAGTTTATGGTCTGGTGTATACAGGGTGTGCGGTCATAAGCGTTAAATAAAATTTTGCATCAAACTACATGGTAATGGCGACATAATGACGCACATTTGAGGTTCCCAACCTCAACCGTTAGGGAATAACAAATTAATTAAGGTTTTCCAAAAACTATTGTAGTTGTTATGAAAAAGGTTATATTACTCTACATTATTATATTACTATTATATTATTATTAAACCATTATTTATTACTTTACCAGTGATCCGGAGGCTAACAACATGAAGTTATATTACTCTGTTAAAAATGCACTAACTGTTAATTTAAATGTCATTTTCAGAATCCTCACACAATTTTAAATAGATATAACACATAATCGTTGGGGTACGGAAAAATATGCTACTTAAATTTCTTCATTAAACAATTATTTTTAATATCGACGAAAATTTAAATAACATACAGCAATTTATTTCTCTGTTACCGAGTTCCGCTGAGTTTAACAAATATTACTAAAAACTTCCTTATTTAAAGGGCTTTACGATGGTGTAATATAGTTTTCAATAAGTTTCAAATTTCCTAATGTAATTCAATCATTGTTGTGAAAAAACAAGGTAGGGCAAAGAAAAGCTATTGTGAGGAATAATACATTTATGTGCAGGCAACGAATAATTTGTATTTTTTTCTCGCATGCAACGTTTTTTTATAGCTATTAAGCTAAGAAAAGAAACATATAGTTGTAAAATGTGTTTGTGATAAAGTTACGGTTATAGTATATTTTTCATATTTCAGATAAGATTTCAATTAACTTCAATTGTGGCTATACCAAAACTACCCGAAACGGATTGGACGTGGTCGACGTGGAGGAAGTGTGACATGGCCTCCTCGATCTCCAGACTTGAGCCCGTTAGATTTTTTTTTGGGTTACATGAAAGGTCTAGTTTACTCAACTGTTGTAAACTCTGAAGTTGAGTTACGGGAGAGAATCTCTGAGGCTGCTGGGAAAGTAAGGGAAAAATTGACGTATGAGGCCACAGTTGGCGCAATTCACAAGCGAGCTAGGGCCTGCTTGCGGGAAAACGGAGGGCACTTTACACTTAAACTGTGATTCCACCTTAATAAACGTTGTGCTTCGGACGAAGTATGTCATTGATTTGATTTTTATTTATTGTGTGTTTTTACTAACGTATTGTGGTTTTTTATAACAAATTTTCCAAAGTCTAATCAAAAACTCTTTAGTTTGATGAAAGTGTAGTCTGGTCAATCATAAATTACACAAACCCTCATCATCTGTGGCCAGCTCATAAAATAGTAAGTAAAATTCATTATTTTTTACAATATCTGTTTTGGTTTAACCGTGATTTTTCACAATAGTGCGAACAAATTCACCATAGATTTGACAGTAGATAAATGTAGTTATACATCATTGTAAAGCCCTTTAAATAAGGAAGTGTTTAGTATTATTTGTTTAAGTCAGCGGAACTCGGTAACCGAGAAATAAATTTCTGAATGTTATTTAAATTTTCGTCGATATTAAAAATAATTGTTTAACGAAGAAATGTAAATAGAATATTTTTCCGTACTCCAACGGTTATGTGTTATATCTATTTCAAATTTTGTGAGAATTCTGAAAATGACATTTAAATTAACAATTAGTGCATTTTTAACAGAGTAATATAACCTTTTTCATAACAACTACAATAATTTTTGGAAAACCTTAATTTATTTGTTGTTCCATACCGGTTGAGGTTGGGAACCTCAAATGTGCGTCATTATGTCGCCATTACCATGTAGTTTGATGCAAAATTTTATTTAACACTTATGACCGGACACCCTGTATACGTGTTTTAAACAGTTACGCAATCGGGATTAAAAAATAGTAAATTATTATACATAATGTATTGTATATTATAGGTAACTTTAATCACACTTTCTCAACGCCTGCAAAAATGAAGACTTTTCACAAAAAAATTATTAGAACTTAAGTAAATAATTTAGTTTAGGCCTACATTAATTTGTAACCAAACTTTTCACAAACTTCAAGTGTAGAGTAAAAATACTTTGTAAACTAGTTAACTTAATGTTATTAAATTGTCTAAAAAATAAGGGTAAATAATGAAAGTAGCACTTAATACAACATTTAATTGATAACTTGGTTGTCTCATGGTCATGATCTACACTTTGCAGAATCATATACTAATATTTTATTTTTACATTAGTTTAGATTTTAAAGCAGTGATTTCTAAATTGAATGTGTTCGTATTCAGTTTTAATTAAATATTGTATCATTTTAGTTGTGAAACAACAAACACTTAATAACACAGTCTTATAATTTTGTGAACATTTTATTTTTAATTAAAGTTGGCAAGAGACAATTTTGCTTAGAACCTCTTACCCTTTAAAACTACATTTCTCATGAAAGCAATGTTTAAAATGTTTTGCTGTCATGGACTTAAGAACAAGATTAAGTGCAATATTATAAAACTGTATTGTTACAATACTTATAGTTTTGTTTTACTAACTTTGTAATACTACTGCCTCATTGTTAAGAAAATTAGTGAAGTGATGAAGAAAATGGCAGCCCACAAAGAATCACTTCTTTAGGTTGTTTTTTGCATGTCTTATCATGCTGGAATTTGTGGCAGACCGAATTCATCCACTAATACACCATCCTGAAAAAGTAAAAAGTATTCAATAAAACATATGAAATCAGAAGTGTAATTAAATTATGTCAGGAAATATGTTGTAAGCCCAATCAAAACCTTTCTGTTGCATATTATGGATATTTTACAAAACATAAATCTTGAATTTTTTTGTTTTTTATTCTTTTTAATCAGGAAAAAGAAACAAAATTACCATTACAATATTTATGTATGAATAATTTAAATTGAATAAAAATAGTGGGAAAAAGTGAATACTTTTGCTTATAGTCCTAATTTGCAACTAACTATTAAAATAAAGAAACATTTGTAAGATAACCATTACAAGCATTGCTTATACTGTGAAGTATTATATCCATATTCACAGAACAAAATATTTCAAGAAGTGCTCATACTATGAAAAATTGAAATATTTTTCATCCCAAGTACATAAAGTTGAGACATTGACATGTTTGAAAATGTTTTTAGAATTAATCAAGCATTTCTGATCAAAGGGTCTTATACAATTCCAGAGTTTTAAGAAATGAACAATTGTCTTAAAAATAATTTCACCAATAAACATGAAGATTAGAAATAATTCATTTTGTAGAACTGTGTTAGATGAAATGTGGCATGCAAAATCAACAGTTAGGCCTACCTTGTTTTTGACACTGTCCGCACCAGGCTCTTTGCTCGGGGCTGCTGGTGCTTTAACTTCGTCTAAGTAGCTGGTGTCGTCATCAAGAGCAATCTCGTCCCCGAGAGCATCAAGTTCTGCCTGCAACTCATCGTCGTCTATCTCGGGTGTGCCATAGGTTCGTCCCAGAGCTTCTTGTACCTCTTCATGTAAGTCCAGCATATCTGCCATGTCATCTTGGAGGTCCTAAAATGAAAGCGAGGTTATGTGAAAGCTATAACAATACTTTGAATGATGCATATTTAAAACAATATTTACTTCGACGTTATGAAGCAAAATTTGTTGTTGAAAGTGGTTCTCTTTAGGCCAACGATGAGAATTATAGAAACGTATTTTGGACATGGTTTATGAACTGAATGAATTTGAAGAGAAAGCTCCAGGAGATCAAAATTTTAAGATGACTTTTGAAGACAAAATTTGAGAAAATTTTAGTTTTTGCATTTTAAACAATCTAAAAAGATCGTTTTGTTTGATGTGGTACAAACAACATTTTTTTACTGAAGTATCTTGAAGATTTGATACGTAAGAATTGCGTATTAACTCAGAAGTATAATATGGTTTCAGGACCAACACTTATATGGCTGGACTAACACTCAGGCATTATTTTTATCAGGGGGTCAAAAGAATGTGACTTAAGTTGAGTAAAGTGAGCCAAGAACTGATGGTTGGTGGTACAGTCTTCCAGACTTTGAGACTAAAAAAACTTACACAGAGTAAATATGTAATAAACCAACCTCGATTTGATCGATGTTTATTTTCTTAAACTCTTTCTGCATGGTTTTGACGCCAGCTTTCATCGCATCAATAGTGGCTTGAGTATCCTTCAGGGATTGGGTAGCGAAGTTGGCTTGTTCCATATTGAATGCCTGTTGTCTTAAGTTGTCTACTTGTGATTCATACCTGAGTCATTGCAAGATATTTTATATTAAGAGTGTATATACAACATTTTAAAATCAAAGACAAACAACTTCCTTTGATCTTAGAACATTAATAATCCGGATTGATTGGGACCGACTCCATACGGATCATAAAATTATCTGGATTATCAAAATTACCTAAAAAAGGACCCCACCACTATTTGAGTAAAAAACTTTTTTAATTGTATATGTTCTATTATAGGTACCTACAGTAAAGGGTCAAAAAAGAGAGGTGAATTTAAAATATTTGTTATGTTTAAGACACTACATATTTGAGCTTTAAAAAAATGTGTGTTGACGTCCAATTTTTCAACGCTTTACTGTACCTCTACAACTCACATGTCTAATTTGACATAAAACACATGGCTTAGGTGATATAAAAATGTTTTTGTCTAATTAGCACTTGTGTTTAATTTATTTAGGAAAATAAATTACAACCACATCAAAATGATATCTTCTATATAAATTTAACTGCAGAAACTCTTGTATTGCTTGTTGCATTGAACAAGCAATACAAGAGTTTCTGCGTTTAAATTTATATACTTAAAATTTCTCTGTGAACTCCCAGAGAAGGTGCAGAGGATAAAACATAATTCATATCTTTTAGAGAGGAAATCAAAATAAGATGTGGGTGTAGTGAATTTTCTGTAGCAGTTGCACCTTGGTTTTATCATCTAGATACATGTATTGCTTCAACACTCAAGAACTTAAATGCAAAAGGGATTAACCCTAGAGTTTCCGCGCCTACCGCTAGAACGTGAGTGCAATTTTTTAAATTTGATCAATAAAACAACAAGCAATTTGTTTGCAACAAGCAATTGTGACTACTAAGATTCTAAAAACTAAGGTGAAAACTTACATCTTTTTCTGCTTTAGCACTCGGAGAGCTTTTTGCTTCACATTATTTTTAGCTGGTCCTTCCCTCATTTTGGCCATTTGATCCTTATACTTCTTTAATTCTACATCTAACTTTGCAATTTTTTTCTCAACTGAGTCTGCTCTACCATCCACCTGTGAAATAACAAAGGAACCCCAGCTGATGGTTAGTAGCCTACATTCCATAGTGTTTAAAATCTGTGTTTAGTTAATAGGCCTATCGCAATCACTGGGATGCCGCAAAGGAATCAAAATTATCAGCAAATTCTCAAATCTTCAATAGGGTGCAAATACGAAGGTTCTATGAGAATTAGGTTTTTTATTTACCTCTTCTCTTCTAGTACATTTACCAAATTGCCACATTTTTTACTCGATTGTCCATTTTAGGTACGGGTTGCGGCATTGTTATTAAGTTCATCAAGACCTTTCATATTAAACATATCATTCTATACCTTTAAGATTGTCAACTTACTTCCAAATGGGCCGCCCCACTAGGTGACATCCAATCACCACGTACACAAAAAAGTAGCTTACCATTACCAGTAATGATATGCCAAATTTGGTTGTTATATATCTTTTCATTTAAAAGTTATAAAATTGTCCTAAGACTTTATTGTCACCCTGTATAAAATTGCACTTTAAGAACACTATAGCTCCATTTATCAATTAAAACAGTTGATAGTACGATTCAGTCATATATCAAGTTTTGCCTAAGTATCAAACATGTTTACTCCAACAGTAGCTATCTAATGCATTGTAGGGATGAGCATTGTTAGTCGATGTTTTCGAAACACCGATATTCGATGTTTTTGAATCACCGATATTCGATGTTTTCGAATCACCGATATTCAATGTTTTTGAAACACCGATATTCGATGTTTTTTATATCGATGGTAGATTACCGATGTTTCTGTTCCATCAATGTTTTCTGCCAAGTATTGAAATATTGACGTTTTCCATTACTGAATTGTATTTGTAGTTGTATTTGAATTGTAGTTTGAGGTTAGATAGCTGTTTGGCTGTTACTGTCCGCGAGAGTGAAGAAGTCCCCTGAGCTCCGGCCTATTCGTAGTTTGAAGGCGTTACACTTGAACGTTTCGCACGACAATTACTGTAGAGCCGTTTTCACGATGCTCTGCTAGTTTAATTTAATATCTGTATGATTTTTATAAATCCATGTCATAATATTTTTTTGCATAGTCATACAATTGAAGGAAACCCATTTTCTAGTGTTACTAAGGCAAATTAATAGGTAACCTTTCTACTTTATGATTTCTGTTTAGTTAATGTAACAATACCAATAAAATACAATACAATAAAATCCTTTTTAAATCCGAGTTTGAAAGCATTAATCCCAAATAATTAGTTGATCCATGAATACTTATGGTGAATTCATATTACCGGTACATTATTATTATAATAAGTACACGAGTACAGCAGTTTCAATAGCATTCATCGCAATAAACAACTTATTATTAAAGTTATTAATACTATTACCATAAACCTAAGCAAAAAATCAAGAAAACAAGCAAAATCCCTTCGTTTGACCCAATGTCTACGACAAATCACGCGGTTTGACGTGTTCATATCAGGTAACACGCCATTGACGTCTTTGCCAAATTTACTGGAATGTTAAATTACTGTCTATCCAAGTTTCGTCCAGATAGAAAAGTTTCCTTTTTTGTTCCCTTAGCTTTCTTATCTCTCGCAAATACTTAAACCTCCAATTAATGATATCGGGCCTTTCAATCAAACATTATTTATGGACCAAATTTCTTCCACTTGAACCCCATATCTTTTAAGAGACGCCGAAGTGCCCATTCGCTCCATTTAAAATTAATTCTTTCTCTCAAAACAGGTAATAGTTTTTTTACATGTAGGGAATTTTTTTTGTTCTTGTAAAAATCGTGTATTACATCTACAATTACACGCCTATCAAAGCTATCTATTTGTAATTTATGGTGGTCAGCCTTCTTGCGTTTTTTCCCGGGTGTACAGAGTTTTTCATCCGGAGTTTGTTTGCCGGCTTTTCTAATTCGTTTAATAGTTTTTTTCTGGCACTTTACAATAGTTTGCGGCACGTTCTGTTGCCTTTTCTATCGGCACTAACAAATTTTTGTCTTTACATTCGTTGTCACAACACTCGATCACCCGTCTAATTAAATCCCTTTCTCCACTATGTATAGTAGCACCAAGTTTTCTTAAATCCATAGCTACAAGGACTGTCCAAAACAAAACAGAAGTCACTACGCGAACACACGAGACTGTAATGAATCAAATGACGTGACCATATGATGATAATCCACTTACCAAAACAAAGATATGAGTAATTATGTTTACAACAGTTGTTTACAGACAGACATCGAGGCGAGGCGCCCAGATGCTTAGCGCCTGCAAATAGTGCGCGATACCCTCCAAACAAAGCTGCGTATCGTTCTGGCTCAAGGGACTTCTTTACTCTCGCGGACAGTAGCTGTTACTGTTAGCTGTGTACAGAGAGCAGACAAAAAAACTAAAAAAAAACATTGATGTTTTAGCCCAAGATGTTTTTCACGACAGTGTTATCGGTACATTGATGTTACCATTGAAGGTGAACATTGATGGTTGACCTAATCAAAAGCATAGTGCATAGTTTTTTGACTTGGCTAATGCATGTAGGCTATATGTTGATCTGGCCTAATAAATGACTTATTGCCTAATGCATCGATGCTCATCCCTAATGCAGTTTATTGTCGCCTAAAAGTGAGTTAATTCTGGCTCTATCTAACCATAATAAAAACTAGGCCTACCCTAGGAACCAATTAAATGTTTATCATACAATTGTATAATACTAGTATTAAAGGAAAATTACCCCCTGAATGACATCTGTTAAATTAGGTGGTGGTGCTTTATCTTTGCCTTTTCCAAATATTCTGTTCATTTTCAAAATTAACACAGGTTATAATAGTTTTTCTTTGACAGGTATTGAATGAATCAGAAACACAATAAGTAAGTAGTGAGTGACAGTTCCTAGTTCCAATCCAAAACAGCGAAAAAAATCACATGATTTTTAGGTACCAGATACTTAGGTAATAGTTATTTTATCATGAAGCCTTGAAAAACATAGAATTAGTTGGTTTTGAGTAATTAATCTCTTAGCCCATAGATTAATTATTTATTCATTTACTACACAGTCTAAAAATTGTACTGAGCAAACTCCCTACGATAAAAGATCAAGGGTGGTTCCACGCCAGTTCTTAACATACTTAATATCCCCTGTAGCATTACTTTATTGATTTATTCATTACGGTACTTTAAAATAGAGATTTGATCAACCATTTATTGTTTGTGAGTATGAGTTCTAGATCATAAATAAGAATGAAAACTCTAAAAAATATTCATTGTAAACTATAATTATTTTTATAGTAGCCTCATATAGTCAAATCATACTCAAATCAAATCAAATCTTTACTCCATTCTCTGGAATGTTAATTATGAGTTTTATTAAAAGAAAAGGTGATAAGAATTGCTTAATTTACTGAAATATAAGTAACAGCACATGGGATGACTAGTTGAATTCTTTGATAAAATATGTGGAAAGAAGATAATATTCCTATTCATCTACTTAAATTATTGAATTTGTATGATTTAGAATACAAAACCACAAGGATACCTATCCATACTAGTTAACTGTTAGAAAATAATGATTATTATACAGTATTACCCCTTTATTAACATGAAAATACTGACCAATAACATTTTATTCAGCTATATAATACTTATATATTGGTATTTTGGGCGCATAAGTTATGTTTACTTTATTTAGTTATTTATAACGTTATTTTTTTCTCATGTATAACATATATGAATTGTCATGACAACTATCTACCGGTACTTTAGGGATTATCTGGCATGGATTTTCTTTAAATGGTTTAAAATAGTTGAGCAGTTAAAGTTTTCCCTAGGTTAATGTGATACTCCAACCTTGAAGATTTTAGGAAAAGAGGGAGCCATCATGACCACGGAACCTGTAGAGCTGGTGATTTGGACGTACTCCGATGTCGCCTTGGTATCATGTAAAGCGACTCGTGAACAAGCAGAGCTGTCTGTTAAGTGTTAAGAAGATTTTTGAGTCAGCCTTTTGGTTTGTTGACAATAAATTAGTGCTCAATAATGATACAGTACATAACATTTAGCCCATGTGATTCCCAGATTGTTAAACTCCTTGGTATAACCCTTGACTCCTGTATCAATTGGAAAGACCATATAGGCCAAGTCTGTACTAAACTAAGTAGAGTAGTGCATCTTTTAAGACGTCTAAGTGACCAATTGCCACAAAGTACCCTTAGAATGTCCTTCTTTGCATTTTTCCAACCTCACGTATCCTATGGGTTAATTTTGTGGGGCCACTCACCCAATGTCAAAAAGATCCTGTGACTGCAAAAGAAGGCAGTAAGGATTCTCTGTTATGCTCACTATAACGAATACAGTAAGCCCTTGTTTAAGAGACAAAGAATTCTGACAGTTGTAAATATTCCAATGCCGTTAGTATTAAGAACCGCATGAATGATTTACCTGTAACTAGTTCAGTACACAATTATGACACTAGGTTTAGTGCTAAATCTTGTTATTCCTAGGTCCAGAACTGATAAAAGAGCTAGGTCATACCCTGTTTCAGGAATAAAACTGTTCAATCACCTTCCTGGTCATATAAGAAATCTGCAATGAAAGAACTTCCAAGCCGTAATATGGTAGACTGGCTGGTTGAAAATCTTTTTTCAAATTTAAAGAGTTTTTTAACACTGTAGTTAGTTAAGTAAGTTTTCCTCTGAACAGCCTGTTTCCTGTTTTGCATAGTGCATTCATTTTGCATGAACTGCATTGGTTTGCTTTATTATTTTGTGCATGGTCTTTACAATTTTTTGCACATGGTTTGTTTTGATCGATTTTGCTTGGTTTTATCCCAAGTAGCAAAAATCGTTGGCAAATCGTTGGCCCAACGTTTCTGTCGATCGTTGGCCAACGGTATGTTTTGGCACTCATAGTCTTACGGTTGGCCAACCATGAACCAACCAATTTTTGCGGAAGGGCCAACCATCATAAACATAAAAAAACACAAAATAATAAAGATTTTGTATGCAAAGCGTAATTATGAGTTGAGTAAATTGATTAAATAGTTAATAAAAACTTATTTTGAAAATAAAACGAAATAAAATTTTTTGGCCGGGACGGGTCTCGACATGTGAGCCTCACACCTTACCTCTGAACTAACTGTGCTTGTTGTTTAAGAGTGTTTTCAGGGCCGGATTTAGCATTTTTGCGCCCCTAGGCCCAAATAATTTTCCGCCCCCTAGTCTGGTCACAGTTACTTTCCTTCAAACCTTTATTAAAAACTATATCATGCCCATTGACCTAAGTTTATTGCTTAAATACCACTCCTCGTTGGAATCATTGCAAGTTTTTTTTAAGAATTGACTTGTTTATAGCCTTAACAAAATGCCGTCTTAAACACTTTTAGCAATTTTATGCTTTTTTAATAAATGCTCACGTTTGTGGCCGTGGGACTGAAACAAAACAACTCAACCCACCGAGCATTCCTGAAAAAAAAAAAAACATGGCCATAATGGTTTTGATTCCAATTCCAGGCCAAAAAAACATGATCTCCAAACAGTACGTGATACCATAGATTAAACATACTCCTTTAGTAGATTTGTCATCATTTTGGATTAGCTGAAAACAATTCTTGTTATTTAATAGTACCTAGTATGTTTGATCTATGTTTAAACCACGATTACTAGAAAAATACCGGTATGGATCATAAACATAAACAAATGACAATTTTGGCCCGAAAAAAAACATGATTTAACATTGCTTAAATGGAACTGCCAAAACATATGTTCAATGCTATTAGTATAGGATTCGGGCCAACAACGTCATTTGTTTATGTTTATGATCCATACCGGTATTTTTCTAGTAATCGTGGTTTAAACCTAGTTTATCTAAAATAAAACGATCTAATCATCAACAATAGGTCGTCTCCTGGTTATATTACAAGAAATTGAAACACACATCATAGAACTAACCCTAAAATAATGGAAACAAAATTACGTCAAAACTAACGTCCAGTGTCACCAACATGAACATGAACAAAATTTGAATTAACAATGTTATAAGAAGTCGACTTGAGTTATATTTAATCTATGGTCGTACTGCATCTAGGTTATATATTTCCAAAGCAAAACAGAGAAATATTCCGGCCAACCGTCTTTCCTTAGGTCTGAGGAGAAAATGACAGCATTATTGGTGCTTTGGGGGGTATTGAATTTTTCTAATGCTAACTGAGATTAATATTTTTTGGTTAATTTTAATGGTAAATTCATCGTTGTATTAATATTCAACACAACTTATTAACTTGATTCTGCAGATTGTTGTAAACTAATCAAAAGATTAGTTAATAACTTTTGTTTTGTGAGGTGAGGGTAGTAACAATGTCTAACACGCATGCGCCCCTAATCACTCTGATCAGTAGTGCCGAGCCCAAACCAGCATAGTGGCAGTGCAGTGGCAATACGATGCGTACTCCTTGGGCGCTCGTAAACGTCAACATCCCTACAGCCTACTCCCGTATAACCAATGTTCGTTACCAATTTTGAAACGAAATTGATGCGTAATTCTGAAAAATAGTTTAGATTTCGTAACAATTATTTCTTCTTATGAACTTCAGAATCACAATGCTTTGGAGTTTTTTTATCAACTGTGACTGTTTATTTTTTTATTTTTAGATAGCCTAGGTATAAAAAAAAATACTCTCGGCCGTGCGCCCTCTGGGACCTTGCGCCCATAGGCCCGGGCCTACCGGGCCTATTGGGAAATCCGGCCCTGAGTGTTTTCAAGTGGTGAAAGAGTAGCCGACAGGTGCAATGGTCACAATTAATACACTTTAATTATTTTTGATGCTACAGTATAATATGATTCTGTTAATCTGTTTAGGCCTCAAGTAGTTGAGTTGTTTTTCTGGTAGTTGGAGAGGATACTAGTATTTGAATATAGATTATTTAATTACCATTAGATTATTAGGCTACTGTTATAATTGATTGTTATATAATTAATTAATCTTTTCTCTATAACTATTACAAAATTGCTTAAATAAGTTAAAGAATATTAAAAAAAAAATAGTTATAATAATTATTATATGTTAAGCAGGTGTTCCCCACTGTATCTAGTATCACAACATCATCTGACTACATTCATTATTGATCAACATTTTTACAATATTTGTCTTATATTCTGCTGCCGTAAACATTTATGTACTTTTAAATAAATCAATTTGTTAAAATTCGTTTTAGAATGTTTTATACTTAAACCCAACGAATGCCCAACGAAGGCCCAACGATTCTTTCCTTTGTAGGGCCAACGAATACCAGTTTCCGTTGGGCCAACGTTGGCAAATCGTTAAAATTGCTGCCAACCATTTCCCAACCATGCCGACCATTTCCCAACGTTGGGCCAACGATGTGTGCTACTTGGGATTTTTAACTCTTGATGTTTATTTTATGCTTGTGCATTGCTTGTACATTGTTTGACATAGCCTGTAACAAATAATATTGTTGATTGGCCGAATAAAATCATTTTATCATTGTATCATTATTCGACGTTACACAGCGAGCCTCTCATCAGTCAGCCCTGATGATTTTTAATGCTCTACCGGATGAGGTAAAGGACCTGAACCCGAAGACTTTTAAGAAACGACATAGTTTCCAAAATAATGCCTTTCCACTAGGTGGATTACTTAGTGAAAAGGCCGCTCTACTCTCTTCGAGTGTTACAAGATGGAACACCTCTATTTGGGCAGTAAATAGCCTCAACACTCTTCTGACGCAGTCTATCCAATTTTCATATTGGTCAACGACGAAGACGACAAGTATTACAAGTAAGCATTACTCACCTTAAGTGAGAGATCTGAAACTTATTTTATGTAAACGTTCATCGCTGAAAAAATAAAACACCACTACACTTTGTAGTGAATTCAAGTTTACTAATAATTTCAAGAGGTAAGTCTTAGGATATTGTTTAAGTGACCAACTTTAGCTTGCCATGCTTTGCACCATGAGTCTAAAGCTCATTGTGTAACTGTTATGTATATTTGTACATTTTCATATATAAAGATATTACTTTTCTATTGGCCTTCAATTTCCAGATTTTCCTAGTCAGCTGTTATTAAATTTCCGGCCACGTTATGGCTACTGCCGTGAAATGATTGCAGTACACCAAACACTTGTCGTTGTCATATCATATCATTCATTGACAGAATCTTATGTACGCGGCTATTTATATTGTAATCCAATGGAGTTCAGTTTTTGACTTGTGATCGGTTTTAATTGTTGTCTGAGTGATGTGCACATCTTGTAAAAGTGATATGATGGGTTTGTGGACGAAATGGATTGTACTTACAGTAATATTAGCTTATTTTCAAATAGCCGCTGGAGTCGAGCTAACCTTCGAATTGCTTGATAATGCCAAAGACTGTTTCTACGAAGATATTAAATTAAATACATCTGTTTCACTTGAATTCCAGGTCTGAGATCACACATTAATTTTTAAGTATTTCAAGATAAGCATAGTTTATACGAGTAGCTTAGAGAATGTGAATTGGGATAAGGATGTGTTGACTGTTGAGCCTGCCAGTTGGCAAAGCTTACACCTGTCCTATCAAGGAACGAATTTTCCTTGTTCCTAATAGCCTACTTTATTTGGTTTAAAACTCGTACAACTTTGGTAGACAACAACTAAACTTATGACCTTGCTAGGCCTTACAGTACTGTACCTAGCCTAACTAAATAAGTTTTGGGTATTTATTCCGTACAGGTGCCGCCAAACGAATTTTTAATTTTGATATCTTACTTTATAGTTTTTTACCTCCTGAATCCAAATAACTTATACCATTAATTTTCACCGCTGATGAATATTTCTCATGATATCACTGTAATAATAATATACGTAACATTACAATAAACAAGGTAGGATGGATGACATTTACAAGTGGAATGAACTGTAGCTTAACTAAGCCTTAAGCCTACTTACAGCTGATTGTTTTCAACCAACCACACGACAAGAACTGGAAGTAACAACTTTTGAACTTCATTAACTCACTCTGATTCTGTCGCCGGCAATATGCCTATACTAGTGACGTAATTTTACTTCACTACAAATAAAATACAAAACAAAAATACTCATTCATACTCATACGTGTTGCGTAGTGCTATTCTGCTACGCCGTCGCCATCACAAGTTCAGGTTAAGTGAAGAGAGTAACATGGTTGATGAGAAGATTAAGATTAACATCATTGACTAAAGATAATAACATCGTTGTAGAAACATATCAAGTGATTCTATAGTCAATAATGTTTTCTACAATGGGAATTTCGTTACATTATGGAGATATAGATGGAATAATGGACTAATTACTCGCAGTTCTTATTTAGGCATGTCAGGGTGGTAGGTCGTGCTTTATGCGAATTGGTGACTGCATTAAGTGTTTTGAAGTTAGGTTAGATTAGGGCTTCTCGCCCAGGGTAGATGTGGGCTTCATCTAATATTTTCCAGTGCCAGTTTGGCATTTTTCTTATTTTCGGTAAAGTTATTTGATATTTTATTCATGATACTTAATTGTTTCAGTGGAAAATAAACTTAAAGCTGGATTTTGACTACAAAGAAACTTTTGAAATATAATTTTATAATATTTTTTTAGTTATATTTGTGTTATCCAACCTTATCATGCCTAGTTTAGGTTGGATAATCGAGACTACTGTACATTATTATGTCCCTGAGACCATCTAAAGTTAGGGCCTACATATGAGTTTCAATTTAACCTAAGTGCATTTGAATCTCAATTTAACCTAAGTGCATTTGAATCTCAGTTTATATAGTTAGTGTTTGGAACTGTACTGACTTTTCAGGCCCTCTAAGAATGTTAAATGGTGGTTATTTTGTTATTTAGCCTAACAAACATCACACATTTCGTTGGTGTATCTTTTTGATCAGACACATATATTTCATTCCTATTTTTATTTTCAATAGTCTTCAGTAGGTCTACACAACACTGATTCGGTAATTATACTTAAGGTTGTTAAGCGTTTTTGCAACTATACATTTTTTTGCTCTGGAAATAAATTTATACCCTACAAAAAACATTCCCTACATGAAACCCTACATGTAAATAAATACATTGGTCTCTCTACTAGCTTACTAAGTCCTTTGGCTACGAAAAGTGATAACATGACATAGGCTATTCTTATCTGTTATAAATGTATTGTCACTTCTACCTTCAGTACTCACTTGTTAACTCTTATCTAGGCCTACTTCAGGTTATCTTAGACATATGTTAAGCAGACACCCAGTCAGTGCCGGATTTACCACTAGGCCGATTAGGCCGCGGCCTAGGGCCGCAAGCAGAAGGGGGCCGCAGAGGATTGGGAAAAACATTTTTTAGATAAAATTAATAACAAATAATTTATTTTAAACCACCAGTTTGCCGCGATCACAGGTGACCATAATGATGTCTCCGCGGACGGAGGGAGATGTTCACGATTTTGCCGCGGCCTCGGGTGCCTGTGATGATGTCCCGTGATTGCGGCCCGCGGGAGACGTTCACGATTTAGCCGCGGCCGTGGGTGACGGGGATGTCTCTTTATGATCACAGCCCGCAGGAGACGTTCACGAATTAGATGCTGTATCGAGTTGTCAATGATGATGTCCCCGTGATTGCGGCCCGTGTGCGGGAGATGTTCACGATTTCGCCGCGGTCACAAGTGTCGATGATAATGTCCCCGTGATTGCGGTCCGCGGCAGATGTTCATGATTTCACCGCGGCTGTGAGTGTTGATGATGCATCCCCGTGATTGCGGCCCACGGGAGATGTTTTTTTTTCATTCTTTTTTTTGTAATTTCATTAAGAATAATACAATGGCGTCATGTTAACGATTTCGCCGCGGCTGGGGGTGTCAATGTGGATGTCTCCGTGGTGGCTTACCGAGGAGGATGTTTACGATTTCGGCACGGCCGTGGGTGACAATGATGAAGTCCTCATGATCACAGTCCACGGAAGATGTTTTTAACACGACTTTGCCGCGATCGCAAGTCTCGATGATGATGTTCCCATTATTGCGGCCCGCGGCAGATGTTCATGATTTCACCGCGGCTGTGAGTGTTGATGATGATGTCCCTGTGATCGCGGTTCACGGGAGTTGTTAACGATTTCGCCGTGGCTCGGGGTGTCAATGAGGACGTTCCCGTGATGGCTTCCCGAGCGGGATGTTTAAGATTTCGGCACGGCCGCAGGTGACAATGATCACAGAAAACGTACTTCTGTGCAATGATGAAGTCGTCATGATCGCAGTCGACGGGAGAGGTTTTTTTTAACACGACTTTGCCGCGATCGCAAGTTTCAATTATGATGTCCCCGTGATTGCGGCCCGCGGGAGATGTTCACGATTTTACTGCGGTCCCGGATAACTATGATGGCTTTGACTTGGTTTAGGAGAGATGTCCACGATTTCATCCAGGATCACGGGTGTCGATGATGATGTCCCCTTGATGTATAGGAGATAGTCACTATTACTTCCGCGATCGCAAGGAATTTTCACCACAGGGAGAGGGCCACTCAAGTAATTTGGCCTAGGGCCGCAAGTACCCTAAATCCGGCACTGCACCCAGTGCCACATATCTCACATAGGCCCCAGTAGAAACTTGTCATGTCAAAAGTAAAACTTTTTAAGCACCATCACCAAATGTAAATAAACTTGAATGTTTTTTAATTTAGTTCCTGACAACAATATGCATCCAAACACTAAACCGATTTAAAACTGACTCTACTTACATGCCATGATTATGGGATAGCAGGTAGTTGTGCCTTGGCCTGATTGTTATCAGATCAAATTTTAAATATGGCATAGGCCTATACTGACAGTAAGGATGTCTGATTGAGTTTGGTAGAAAAACACCCAACAGATTGATGATGCGCACAGACAACACAATCAAAGATGAAGGTATGGAAGGGTCGGGTTGTCTGTGTGAATTATTCATTGTGAAACACTTATACCTATTCAATCCACAGTCTAATCATGAGAAAAATCACATTTGCTACAACCTTTTTGTTTTACAGGTGGTAACAGGAGGGTCATACGATGTAGATGTTACCCTGGAAGATCCGACGAGAGAGATAATCTATCGACAAGTCAAGTCTCAGTTTGACACCCACATGTTCACCACAGTCAAGGAAGGCACGTACGCCGTGTGTTTCAGCAATGAGTTCTCCACTTTCAGTCACAAGCTGGTCTACATGGATCTCCAGGTCGGGGACGAACCACCGTTGCCAGGGGTGGGGGAACACGCCACCGTTATGACACAGGTAAGTGAAAAAAAATTTGTAGGAGAACAATAACTGCCAAACTGCAAAAAACTTTACTTCCGTTAGTTTCTGTGGAAATGTTGATGTGGTTTTTGTATCAGTGGTTAAATTTGACTCGTGATTGTGGTTTTGTAGCCTACTCATGATGAAAATTGATGGGTTAAAAATTCTCACCCAACAGATTAACCTGAATTTGATTATGATTTAAATAAATAATAGATACATGTTTTGTTGGGAAGTGCCCGTGTTATTATTCGTTATATTATTAAAATGAAAAAAAGCGTTACAATATCGTTTATTGGTTCAGTAATGCATACACTCAAATTATTTATTTTCTCTCTGCTACATCCAGTAATCAAGTTTACTAAATCAAATCAAATCAAACATACTTTATTTCCAAAAAATAATACAGAATATAAATTATAACATAACTTCCAGTGGACAGACACCCTACTTGCTATTGCATAGATAAAAATAGGTACCTAATTAAATATAAAAATACAAATAAACTTAATAATAACAACAAGGGATGTGAGGTCTCAGAGAAGCTATGTTAAACATAAGGAAATAAGCCTACATGGGCTGGAAGCCTGTGCGTAGGCTCAGTCGCTATCAGTGACTGACGTATTTGTTGGAAAAATAAATAAAATGGAAAATAATATGAATATAAATAATATTTATATTCATAGATATTCAGAGAATCTTAAAAACAAATGATTTAATATAATTGTAAAACTATTCTGATTCTAAATTGGTGAATGAGCAATTTAAGGAATGAGGCAAGGCGGAGGGCACATACATATAAATATATGTAGTTAAGAATGTTCGATGTTAGTAATTCAGTTATTCAGTAAAGATTACGGGAGAATAAAGTAAAGTCAAGTCTGCCTGTACTCTGCTTTGATTAGGAGTTCTGATTCATCTACACCCCACTCTATCAGACAGCCAGTGATGCATTTTTTGAAAATAGTAATCGATGGAGAATGGAACAAATGATAAGAATTACAACGGGAGATAACATTACGATATAAAACTTCAGAAATGTAAGAGGAATTTGTTAATGAGTAAGACTTGGCTAAATGGGAGGTAGTTATTCCAACATTCTGTGCATATCGGGTATTATAAGAATGTGATGTTTGGTTAAAAATAGAATCGAAGTTCTTGAAAATATGAATTGAAAGAAATTTGATAAATAACTGTCTGACACTGAGTTCAGTTAATATCTTTATAAATAGTCATGTCTCCATGTAATAAGGATAGTTCACGAAATAATGTGTTAGTGGGGTATCGAATTGGCTTATTGAAACAAACTTTGAGTAACAACTTCTGAAGGACTATTAATCTGGAATCTTAATTTCTATTTATGTTACGTTTAGACTGTGTGTTTTTTTTATTCTCAAGATGTATCTGTATTAAGAAAAGCATACTAACAAATATATTAAGTTAGGTGCTTCTTGTTATTAGTGTCAGGGATTGCTTTAGTCTTATCTCCACTTATTTTCACAGCATTATTAATGAAATTTCAAGTTACTGAACATAAAATTCTTTGGAAAAATATTTAAATCCATTAGGCCTATTACATAATTTGTTGTACTATTTTGCAACCCAAAATTGAAATCATTCTTAATTTCTATGCTTTATAAATGAACCAAAATGACACCTGAGGTTGTGAATATGATTTAAAACAAACAGAACAGATTTAAATCATAAATAAAGTCTGTAGGCTAACTATTATTTGTTATCAATGTTGTAAACTAGTCATTTACAATTATGACATTGGGAACCTCAAAGAAATGAACCCACTTTTGTTAAATAAGTCAAAATTTGCAACAACTTTTGAATAATTGGAATGTTTAAGGGATAAAAGGATAATATTGAGTTGAGACACAAATATCCAATCAACATGTCTGAAAAAATTTAAAAGGTTATTGTAGGCTAGTTCAGCCTTAGTTTTTAATGGATAAACTATATGTAGATAGTTTTGAGATCCGTAATATCCATAATAAAAACTCACCAAAACCACTCTGACCATAAACACAAAAACCATGCAAGTTTGAAAAATGGTCTATATGCTGTCATTAGTTGGAATTCGTGATCATCTTAAATCAACATCGATGGAAAATACACAGTTAAAAAGGTTGGCATTTTGGTAAAAATACTCAAAACCCACCTCACCCAAAACACCATTCTTGAAGCATGAAATTGTGAAAAAATGTGTGTATTGAAGTTTTGAAGGGTAACTACCCCGTTTGCTATGAGAAACAAAATAATGTCAGCACGCCTACAATCAGTCAGTGAAACACAAGGTACAAAGTCATTGTCACACTCGATTTGTGCTACATCCTCCATTCATACTAACAAGGAGAAGGTTCTAGACAAAGAAATCACAAACCAAGCAATGCTCCAAAAAGTCATGTGACACGTGTCACGACAGTACCACGACAACCAATAAAATATCTCTCTCTTTCCTGAAGGTCACACTTTTTCCCGATGTTAATTGTAAAACTATCCCTGTTCCAAAAAGTCATTAGAGTTTAGGTTGGTATTGCCTAAATTTCCCTATTTTGGGGAAATATCTAATTTCCATTGAAGTACCCCTGAGCTTACTCCATTGAGTTACCCTTGTATTCCATTGAGTTACCCTTTTACCCGACCAACTACCCATAAAGTACCCTTTTCCCAGGCTAATTACCCTTTCTCTCTATGTTTAACCACGTTGGAGATCTCCCTCACCCAAACCCCTGATTCCCACTGCGTTCCCCTGTTAATTGATGGTGTTGCTTATTTATTTAATTAACTTAGTAATACAAGTAAGTCCATGCACGTTCAAAGTCATAAGACATTTCAAATTGAACAGCCTTGACACCCTTGATATTTAATTATAAATCTACTTACGTATGCCAGAGGGTCTCAAATATGGTCATCTTTCATGATGTACATGTTTCAAGCTTTTTACGTCTCATCTTCACAGCATTCATATAAGCCTACAGTATTATAAATATAACAGTATTGTAATATATAAAGTATAATAAATCCCATCGAGCGAATTGTTAAGTATTTCAAACACTATTATTACAATAAATAGTCCAATTAACTCAATAAATTATGATAACGAACACTTATATACATACAGAAATAAACATTACACGTATCATTTTGCCGGTATTCATAAATAATTTGGTACGCACGCTTGGAGTTATCAAAACCAGAATAAATTCGTAGGCCTACTGAAAAACACGGGAGAATGACGTCAGTGTCAGCTGTCTGGTGGTTCTTATGTTTATTTCTGTTTGTATATAAGTGTTTGTAAATACTCAACAAACATCACTCTTTGGGCTTTATTGTAAATACTGTAACATGCTGCTGAAGATGAGCAGCAAAGGCAAAGGCCTCAAAACATGTAGGCCTACAGTGTAAAAAATAACTACATTTGACACCTTCTGGCATAAGTAGATTTTCATCTATAATCGAGTCATTCAAGAAAATCTTAGATGACATAGAATAGTTTAAAAGTGATTTTAGATCGTTTTAGGTGAATTGGGTGTTGTATTACTACTAAAATGGTTGTTAAAACATATGATATTTGACATCTCGATGTACCCTTTTGGTAGTCTTTACTCTTAGTAACATTTCCTGTCAAGTGATGAATGAAGTAGGCTTAGTATAGTTTTAATGGTAGAAATTAGTTTGGCAAGAAGGATTGAATGTTTCGAATGTTGTTTTTACTAATAGTTTAAAGTCTTTTATGTGTTGTGAGAGTCCAAGATATGTTCTAACAAGTAACCATTTGCTCTGCACTTTTGAAAAACATGCACCTTGCTTGTTGTGCTTAGGTCTGTGTAGTGCTGAATAATTTATTGATTATTATATGGGTTTGTGATATTCTACGTCTATAATAGAATATGTCTTTCAAGACTTTGATTTTAGCGAGTTGCCCATTAGGGAATAATTTATTACCGTAGGCCTCATGGTAAGACATGGATTTGGGACATTATTAACCTTTTCGTTTTGATGTCCCTAGAGGCCAAAAACATCATCCGTTCGCTAAAACTATCCGATTATGATGAAATTGGTATAAGCGTGTAAACTTATGTTCACTCTAACGGACTATATGGACTTATGGACTATAAAAACATAATGTTTCTCAATTTCTTTCTTAACCATTTTGTAGAGCATTCAAAAAATTAATAATTTCTTACATTGAAGCGTTGTTATGCGCTCAAGGGTTAGGGTGAAAATTTATTTTTCTCATACTGTAATTGCATTCTTAGTTTTACATTTTCCTTTGTCCATTGAGTTTTATCAGTGTATGTTTTTAGTCCATAATTGGATAACTCAAATCCGTTTGTTACAGTCAGTTTGGTTCAATTGCAAAAACATATTTTCTCTAAATTTGAAACTCTATAAAAAAAATTAAATTGATGTAGGTATTCAATATAACGCCAGAAAATCGTTCCAAATTATAAATCATCGAGTGCTAAATCACCATGTTTCTTTTTCTAACAACATTTGCACGATAAATTTCGCAATAGTTGCATGTTTGCCTGCAAGAGAAAAATTAACTAATCGGTGAGTTACGTTCTAAATTATGTGTGGAGTGGAGCTTTGTTTGGTGGTGGTTTTATGTCTGGGCACTGAAAACTCCCATGTGGCAATTAATGTACAGGTTATCTAAAAAAATGTTTAATGTCTGATTTAGGATATCTATGTATCGTAATTGACATAAATATTAGCGTTTGTTTTCTGTTAGGAATTTTGTACATGTTTCGCTTTTGGCAATATGGATTTCCTAAATTGGTTAATTTACGTTTTTAAAGTCAAACAAAAACTGTAGTATTCCTGATAACTAACGTTCTCAAACCTAACCAATGTTTACTAAATATTATATAGGTACATTTTTATTCATATTTTCAATTTCGTCAATTTTTATTTGATTGATAAAGAAAATCATGTAGGTAGTTAATATGACAATAGTGTTTGTAATTTACTAGTGTTTTCCAATAAAGTGTTCACTATTGTCCTATATTCTCTATGGTCGTATTGATACCATTGCAAATAAATTACTTCGGTTTTATTGTGGTTTATGGGCTTAAAACCACACATACAGAGTTTAATTAATTTTAATAATTTTGGATAGGTTATTTTCCAACTTGGTCTGTTCTTTAACAATTGTAATGTAGGAATATCATGCTGTACAATCAAAGAAAGCACAGCTGAAATAAAACCTTTTCATTAGTTTCAGGGAATTTAAGCTATTGCCTGTTGTTATAAATGAGCAACATAAAATGGTCCTAGTTTGTTAGTGCACAATTTCTCTTGTATTTTCATGTTTTATTTATTAGTTTTTGCTTAATTTTTCTTTTTAAAATTGTTTTACTTCTACTTGTACAATTGCATGGAAAAAACAATGAGGCCTGGATTGCAGTTTTTGGTGTTACACTACAGATTTTGTTTTCGTTTGTGTTGTGATTTTGTTGTGAATTTTGCTTTGCTGTTACAATTTTCATTACACACTGACAGTTCACAGAGTAAAGTAGTTCTGGATGGTTTTTATTTATACACTTAATGAAAAATACATTACTAGTAGTGAGTTTTTCTGTTGGGAAGTAGCCACTAATGTAGTTTTCATAACTGGGCATTTTTTTGTTTTAGGGCTCAGAAGCCAAAACACTTGTTAAATGTTCTGTGAAAATTCTTAATTTTGCTTAACTATGCCAAGTCAACCAAATCCCAAGTTTATTAGTTCTGTACTTGAATTGCTAACAGGACAAGTCAGTTGTAGTTCAAAGTCGTGTTTGTTCAGTCTCAGATATATAATTAAGTCTTTGTTAAAGCTCAAAGGCTTAACTCTGATCAAAAATAATTACCTTAAGTTTTCCTTTGTTTAAACAAAAGTTTGCTAGAGATCTTCAAGTTGTTTAAACACCAACTCAGTAGTCAAGCTATGTCGCGTTGTCTTGACAATTGTAGGAGAAGTTTGCGATTTTGCTGCGATGTCGGTAGATGATCGTGCTGTCCTCAATTGTGGTAGATGATCATGATTACGCCGCGATCGCGTAGGATAATCATCATTACACCCACAGTGATTGTAGATGATTTTACCGATGTCGCCTCGATCTTGAAAGATTATCTATTGACGAATAAAATTACACAAATTCAGCGTGTAACATAACAATTACATTTTTATTTACAATCATGCAAAGTTAACCACAAACAAGGTTTGTTTCTGTAAATATTACGAGAAGTAAGGTTTTTTGCTTGTTTGCTGAACGTAGCTATCCAAGTATACAGTGTCAATAATTCAATTATTTTGTAGATGGAAATGTCTGCTCAAGAAATCCACCAGTCTCTGAAGAGCATCATAGACTATCAGACGCACCACCGGCTACGAGAGGCTCAAGGGAGAAAACGAGCGGAAGATCTCAACGATAGAGTATTTTGGTGGTCGCTCATGGAAACTGTCTTGATCCTTTTTGTATCCATAGGCCAAGTATTTATAGTAAAAAATTTTTTCACAGAAAGAAAACCGACAACATACAACCGGTTATAGGATTAAAGTGTTAAACGTTTTGTTGATTGTTTATACTTAAGTCTTCTTTCTCGGTTAAGACTGAGTGAAAGGTTTTAGGTTAAGAACACCATCTCATATTTATACAGTACACTTAGCAGTTCATTAGTAGTAGTTTCATTGGATTGTTCATGGATATAAATTTCAAGTAGTTTTCCCACTTGTCTGTTAGGTTGTGATGTGAATTTTCATGTTCTTCGAGTTCCAGTATTGCTAAGTCAATTCAATTTGTCAAACCGTTTTTTGATGTGCATTGAAGTGTTTTGTAATTGTGAATAAAAAACTGAAAATTACAAAATTCATACTAGGTATCCAGGGAAATTTTAGAATACTCACGCCAAAGTAAAAACCTTAATATATTTGTCGTGATCAATTTGATTCAATTGAAAGGGTCAAGTTCAAAAGGAAAATCATTATTCACTTTGTTTATATTTGTACGGTTTAGTTCATGTACCTAATTATTATTTTACATTTTTCTAATTGTTTTATTTTCACCCAAAGTTTATCTTAAGTTTTGACACAAAGTTAGATTTTTTGTTTGGTAAGCTACACCTACGCAAAATATTTTGTTTACATATTACAACTAAATTATATGAGATTTTCTGGTTTTTATGGGTATGATTTACATGTGAATTAATTCTGTATCTATCTTAATATTGTGTGTTAGACTCTAGAAATACTTCAATAAAGCTTGGAAACCTAATTTTACAATTGTTGTTAGGTAATGTTTAGATCAATTGGCTTGCTGTTAAAATATCTTGGGAAGCAAAACAGTTTCTATTTCAAGTGCCAAGATTTGTTCATGTGCTAAGAATAGGAGCCCTCCTATTTTTGGTAAAGAGTCAAGGAATAATTTTGACAGGTTGATTTGAATTATTTGAAATTTGTCCTATTATTTATAGCAACTCAAATTTTATTGAACTGTCTCCATTATTAAAATATCCAGTTTGTACAGGCTATATTTATTAAATATCCATCATTTAGTTTGATAAAAACTATTTCAACATCTTGAGAAAATAATAATAATGTGAACATTCTTAGAACTGTAAAGACACAATTTTATTATTTCATGATTGAAAAATATTTTTATTTCCATGTTCTTGTACTTTTTGAACACATTTCATCATCTAAAATTAACTATCCTATACTATGATTTCAATCATAATAATTTATTACATCTTTTAAGGGGAATAGTGACAGTTTTGTTTAACAATTATTTACAATCAGTGAAACCACAAAAAAATGGTAGCTGACCCTTGAAATTAATATCAACTCATATTTTGTGGACTGCAATTTTAAGAACCTAGTGAGGACACCTTTTAGGGGAATCCTTTAATTTTGAATACAGTTTAATGATGTGTGTTTATTGCTAAACAAGTTTATATTATTCAAAGGTTTGCTAAAATCTGATTCCTTTAAGACCATGGATGGTATTTGTTACTATAATTGTTCATACCATATCTTAACAGGGTGAGGCACAAAGGAATCATTCCCGTTTACAAATTGTGTCCTAATCTATTTCAAGGGCAAACAAACTTGCACATGTTGAATACACTGTGTTATTTATTCTTCCAACATTTTTGACACATTGGTGTACATAATGCAAACATAGTGTGGAAGTGGCCATTTTGAATGTTGTTGCTTTAGTATTAATTTCTTTATATATGGGATAAGTTGTGTATATTTTGTGAATATGATTAGTTTAATTCAAGTGGTTTCTACCAGTGATTTTTGGCTGATGTGTTTTTGTTTATTTTTATTTTTTGGGGTGCTATCATTGAATATTTGTTAGCAAGACATATAAAATATTTTAAGCATTGTCCATGGGGTCTGACATAAAGGGGTTTTTACGTTAAGGACGTTAGTTTAACCTTGGACTGTGTTGAGTTCAATCATTGGTTCTTATAACACATAGTTTATAAGCAAATATTTGTGTTTTGTACAATTTTATATACACTTAGGCCTTTTTTCACACTGGATGAAATTCAACGTTTTTGTCATTGCAGAGTTCCGATTTGTTCTCTAATGCTGCACCAGTGTTACAAAAATCATTTTGGGTCTGTAAACTAAGGCAGATTCGTGGTATAGTATCTGTGTGAATTTGTATTAATTTGCTAAGCATCGTTTCACAAGCCACATTCATTGATTATAAACCGCTAAATGATCATCAAAGCCAAAGATCACTTGTCTTTATGATTAATATGTAAAATAGGCCTATGTAGAGTAATTTATACATTGCCATTTTCACCAAAAAACCTACTTACTGTTCAATGACATTTAAAATTGTCAGAAATGCCATAAAATATAGTAATTTTACTCTAAAACATTCCTTAACCTCATCATACCTAACTCAAAACATCTGGTAAATTGGTTTAATTCTGTTATTACTTCATCAAACAACCTTAGACATTTTATAAATTTACTTTTACTAACAATGACAGCTGTTCTTTGTTTACATAGTTGTTTTTAATATCAGATAAAATACTCTTCGTTACATAGATTTACCATCTTTATAGAACAGCTGAAGACAATTTTGAGGTTTGTTCATTCCTAATTCTAAAGTCAGATACTTTGTTCAGTTGTTGTTTACTATTTGCCTCTTGATGTTTAATGAACTTTAAAAACATATTTTAACTGACAGAAACAAGATATTTTTATAGGAGTACTTATCTTAAATTATAACCAAAGAAGAAGGTACAAACTGTAATATATTCTCTAAAATGAGAGATAAATGTTAAGTCAATATCAGCACTTTCAAACGTGACCAACATTAAACACAAAAACTGTTTTTATATTTTGGAATATAATGAAAAGAGTACTTAAAATGATCAGATTCAATTACATCCTGTTTGCCATAAAATCAATGAAACAGGCTGTTTAGGACAGTTCTTAAATTAAAGTAAAACTATTATCTGAAGGGTTATCAGGGGGGGGGGGTCAGAAGGGGGGGGGTTATTATCAGAAGTAATTTCACTATTGGAAATTCATTGTTGAGGGCTAGTAAGTAGAACCAACTTTTCTACTTGTCATAATATGTGAAATTATAGCGATGATTTTTCTTGTATCGGAAACATCAGAAGTAAAATACAAAATTTTACATTCATCAATCACAAATCTAATAGTTTTTATTTAGAACTACATAAGTAAAAATGAAAGTATAAATTGTTCCCAACAAATAAAATTAATATGACTTATTTTGGACAAAATATTCTTTAAAACACTAAAATAGTATTTAAGGAGTAAACACATTTCTGTCATACATAAATCACATGGAAACTTAATACACAAAGAATTAAACAACAAGAAATGATATAGTGAATAACATATTTCTGGCATATTTTAAGTGTCACTGCAATGAGTTTTGGTGTATAAATAATTGTATTTGTGATTAATAAATACAAGTTTAATTGTTTATTTAATTGTTTATGAGTTGTGTTTTCTCCTGTTCAACAGTATATTTTCCCAAATGAGTCAATAGGATACCCAAATACATTGGGAATATAAAATTGTTGAACGTGTATTATGAATAAACATTTACGCCTCACTACTCTAAGTTAATGGACTTCCCACGCATGGATATAGTCTAATAATCCCTCACATCGTCAGGAGCGCAAATCTCCCATAATTTAGCCAACGTGCCCCCTTCCCTCACCAAAACGAAGAGTTTCAGGAATTTGCTAAGGAAAAAAGTCAAGTCAGTTCAGTTTTGACTAGCTACTATATTTAAGAGTATCACCCTCAATTGCTACTAAAATGTTAAAATGGTGTAAGTCGCATTGTTCCTTACACAACCTTCGGTAAATATGCTTGTGGTTTTAATTTTATATCATCATCAGGCTCAAAATCAAAACTCTAATCATCAACTTCTTCAAAATGACTTGGTTTTTCAGGAACAAGATAAGGATACAAAGCCATAAGAGAAATTTATGATAAAGATTACAATGGTAAGGTAAAAAAAGGGGAGCATAAAATTGTAATTGCTAATGCATTTTAATAAAATAAAAATAATGGAATTTTGAAAGCAGCACCATCTTGTGTAAACACTAAGATGATTGTATATTTCCTTCTTAGATCTGTAAAAGAATGAGCTTAAACGTCACCTCAAAAACAATGACGATCTCTTAACACGTTCGCTGCTGGCGTTGTATTTTTACAACGTGCCTACCCGGCGCCAGGAGCTAGCGTTGTACATATACAACGCTGTGTCATTGTTGTTTAACGTTTCCATGGATCAGCCAGCTCGTCACGAGCGTCCTATATTTCTTTGCAGCTCGTGGGGACGTACTTTTGTGACAATAAAAAATATAGTTTCCCAAAATCCCCACCAGGGTCGTTTAGAACAGGGCTTTGTCCCCACCTCTTTTCTGCTAGATAGCGACACTACTTTACCGACTGCAACCTGGGTAATGCTACTATCTATCAGAATCGCTTGGTACTATGTCCAAAGCCAGTTATATTGCAGAACATTGCCATCCAGTATAACTACTGTTGTTTTTACTGTAATTCAGTGTGTCGGCAGCAATGTTTATGCAGCGACAAGCGTTAGTTCAGCTCCTGGCGCCATCCCGGCATCTAGCGGTCAGCAGCGAACGTGTTTTAAAGCATTAGTGGTTTAGTGAAATAATCATATTGGAAGGGGACATTATGACAAACTTTTCACATTAAGGGAAGTTAAATGATAAAAACTGAACTTAATCAACAAGCGAGGAGGACAAATTGGAAATATTAATTAATGAATTTATTAACAAAGGTAACAACATCACCTTTCGTAGAAGTAAATAAAAACTATTTTACCTGATTATGGTAAATAATAGATATTGATAAAATATTACATGGTATAGTGGTTTCCAGATTTTAAGAGGGGTTTAAAAGTTATACTTTTACTTACTTGAATAACTACAGTGTAACCAACTTGCAAAATAAAATAAGTTAACTATAAATTTCTACTCAGTTTAATGCTCAATTCTTGATTCCCTATCTTTGCAATACTATCTGTAAAATTTTGCTAAATAGGGGGTTGAGAAAAATGTATACAGGGTGGTAAAAAAGTCCCAGGACAGTTAAATATTTTTTAAAAATAATGTAGATAGAGCAACAATACTTGGTACAAAGTTACAGTGCATAAAACTCTATTTTAACACATATTCAGTGATCCAATAACTCTTCAGGGAGACGGCCCACAAGGAGTCGGAAGAAAATCTTAAATGGAAGCATGGGTAAATATGCACATCAAATTAAAGGTATTTTTTAGTAGAATACAATGCCGCAAACCGCACTTCAAAAGGTTGATCCTGCGCAAAATGGCGGCCGTTCAAAGATTTCTTGAATTCGCCATATTGAATCTTTGAACGACTGCCATTTTTTACTCAGGCGTTCTTTTGAGCTTGAATTTATGGCATTGTAACCTACTAGTGAAGACCTTTAATTTGATGTGCATATCGACCTATGCTTAGGTTTACAACTTTCTTTCGACTCCTAGGGTTGTGCCCCCTGAAGAGTATAATAGCAATGTAAATTAAATGAATCTTTGAACAACTGTCATTTTGCGCAGGATCAACCTTTTGAAGTGCGGTTTGCGGCATTGTATTCTACTAAAAAAGATCTTTAATTTGATGTGCATATTGACCTATGCTTCCATTTAAGATTTTCTTCCGACTCCTTGTGGGCCGTCCCCCTGAAGAGTTATTGGACCACCGAATATGTGTTAAAATAGAGTTTTATGCACTGTAACTTTGTACCAAGTATTGTAGCTCTATCTGCATTATTTTTTAAAATATTTAACTGTCCTGGGACTTTTTTACCACCCTGTATATGTTGTTTTCAATTTTGTGTAAATACATCTTTTATTTAATGCCATAATGCTATAATTATATAATATAATAATTACTCTTAAAAGAATCTGCAATTAATATGAATCACAAATAAAAATATCTATGTAGTCATATTTAACTTCCTCA